GGTGATATCGAGAACATATTTGTTTTTGATCGTCTCTGATCATAACAAGTCATTGGATTTCAAAATAGATGAAATTAGTTCCACCTAATTTGTTTTTCAACAATCGAATTGGTATGACCATTAAGGAGTTCAATATTCGTTTAGTAGATCTATAATCCAACTATATCATAAGTTTATCGAGAGGAATATTTTATATAATATGTTGACGTAAGGTATTACCTTTTCGAAAGACTTTTTGTTTTCTCCCTATGCTAATATGATATATCATCCATTAAACACCACTAACTTCAACCACAAGTTAAGTTTAGATTGTTCGAAAATAATATCTACGTCAAGATTATATTATAGTCGATATAAATTGTTTGAAAATAATATCTACATCAAGATTATATTGTAAACAAAACTTAATATAAATTGGGGGTGTACCAATAAGCGGGTGCAAACAAGCAATGAAACCAACAACAACAAGACATCCAATTATTCAAAACAAATTAATGTGAATAAATTGACAAATAAAAAGATTTCATAGTATCTTGGACAAGTTTGATGTTTGCCCACTAAACTTGGCCATGAAGATGCAAGTGAGAGACTTCACAGCACTGTTATTTTTTCTGAAAGGCCTCTGCATCAACTATGGAGGACAAACTTTTAATTTGTTGCATACTTTTGCTTAGAATTACACATATTATAAACAAATTTTAGGGAAAACTTTAGTTATGTAAAAGATAAAAAAAAAGATATACCCCTATTCATATTCAACCTTAATTCACACATTTAGGATTTCCAAACCCTCATCTGCATATGGCTATAGTTTGTATTGCACAAATCTTTTCTTATCAGATACAAAGGTTAAATATTAAGGGTTGACATTAAATATTAAATATTTATTAAATATTATCTACCAGCGATAGTTAATTATTATGATAACAAAAATATTAAGGGTTAAATATTTTTAATTTAAATGATTATTAGTATTCACGAATGGTAATGCTCAAATTGAGTTTTTGGGTGGATGAACGAAAGGAATATATATATATATATATATATATATATATATATATAT